ACAGGGTCTCCCAGGCTGTCAATCTTCATGGAAGCAAAGCCCAAACCACACCCACTGCCTGGAGTCCATTCTGACCCACAGCGCCCCTAGAGGACAGAGTGGAACTGCACCACAGGGTCTCCAGGGCTGTCAGTCTTAATGGAAGCAAAGCCCAAACCACACCCACTATGGTAGAGTCTTTCTGACCCACAGCGCCCCTAGAGGACAGAGTGGAACTGCCCACAGGGTCTCCAAGGCTGTCAGTCTTCACAGAAGCAAAGCCCAAAGCATATCCACTGCCAGAGTCCATTCCGATTCACAGCGCCCCTAGAGGACAGAGTGGAGCTGCATCACGGGGTCTCCGAAGCGGTCATCTGGAAGCAGTACACCTTACCTCTGCAGAAGGGCTGGGGGCTTTGGCCCACTGACCCTTTTCTTAGCAGCTGGCTGCTCCAACCGCTGCACCACCAGGCTGCTGGAGAGTAGCCCACCGGCCTTTCTTCCTGGTCTAGCTCCGTCTGGAAGCCCTGCTGAATCCTGTTTGGCATTGCAGCAGCAGGCCAGCCTGCTGTGGCCGGCGGGTGGGGGCTCTGCGTGCGGTGCACTGGGCGGGAATCCACCGGGTGTCCTGCACGGAAGGTGAAAATTCTACCCGTGACCCAGCACTGCCCCCAGTGAGGCCTGCAGGATGAGACAAGTATTCCCATCTTTGCAAATGAGGAAAAGGGGCGGAAAACAGCCCTCGGACAGCATCGGGGACCCGCAGCGCCGTGGGCCCTCAGAATCCCCCCCCCCCATCTTAGGATGAGGCTGGCGTGCAGGGCTGAAGGGTCATGATGGGACTCGTCTGGTTAGTGGGGGGACCAGGCGCTCGTTCCCACTTGCCCCCTCTTCTCTGCACTGTGCTGCTGGGACTGCAGGCTGGGCCCGGTCTGCTCGCCTGTCTGCTGTCGAAAGCTGAAAACGCCAGGGTAGCGGGTGGGGCGCTCGGGTGGTACAGTGGTGAAAGCATTCGGTCCCTGAAAGGCGGGCAGTTGAGACCCACCAGCTGTTCCACGGGAGGACGGTGAGCGGTCGGCGCTGTAGAGGCTACGGCTTGGGAAACCCTGTGGGGTCGCGTGGCGTTGCTGAGAGCCGGGATCCACTCACAGCACAGAACCAGAGCCCCCACCGCCAGAGCCAAGCAGCGGCAGCCCCCGGGCGGGACCGGGCTGGGCCCGGGGCTAGCAGCGCTCTGCTCCAGCCTTGGCCCTGGAAACGGTCGGTGGCCGGGCAGCGCGGGCTGCGGGTCGCCGCTGACCGTCCTTGGGCACTCGGTGCCTTTGCTCTGGGGAGCGTGTCTTTCAGCCGGTGCTTGGGTCTGTGCAGTGCCTTGAATTTGAGAACTGCCTCTTTGAGGAACGTCGTTCGTGAGAGGGCCAGAAGCGACTCTAAAATTCCCGGAACCACCAATTTCTGGGGCTTCAGGGTTGAGGTGGTTTTTTTCTGTGAACTTATTTCTGTGTGGTGCTTTGAACTTGTAAGATTTTATACTCAGGTTAGATCACTAAGTTAACTAGAAACAGTATGTTCCAGTCATACTTCTATGTGTTAGTCTACAGGTAACGTTGGGGGGAAGGTCATGGGTGCGTTAGCTCAGTGTGACACCAGGGGAAGGGGGACTCGTGGGTGTGTTAGCTCACATATAACACTGCGGGAAGGGAGACGCATGCCTGTGTTAGTTCACATGTGATGTGGGGGAGGGGACTCATGCCAATGTTCACATGTGATGTGGGGGAGGGGACTC